ATTAATCTTAGTATAAAAACTTATTTAGCTATAAAACTAATGCAGCAATTCTAAGAAAATAATAAAATAAATTATATAGGAAAGTATTCGAAAATCGCGGGTTCATTTTACGTTCATGAAAATAATTTGATACTTGCGAAAGCTTAGAAAATCAAATAAAATCCATGAAAATCACCGTGTAAATTCAAATCACAATAAAATTACTGTTTAATGAATATTCCCTCGGCCACTTCGCTGGCTAGGTTTTTAGACAGCATCAACTGTAAAAGAAATGGTTACTTACCAACTCTCGGAGACGAAATCAAGATCACTTTGGCCACTGAAAAAGTAAATGAGTAAAACAAGTGAGCGGTATTTTTTGCATATGACAAACATTATGCAACTGGAATAAAAAATTAATTAAACTAAAATAAAATAAAAAAACTAATAAAACGAAAATATAACGGTTTTATTATAAAATTATCAGTAAGGCTCGGTGTGGCAAAACGCACAAGGGATTCTAGACTATATTTCGTTTCTTTTCAATAAGTATATCTGATATCCTGATAAAATAAAAAGTATTGTTACTCGAGGGGAATATTTGTAGCAAACTTCGTGCATAAGCGATGGAATGAAATAAATGCAGAGCTACGTTTTGAATAACTGAATTACTGAAGAAAAATATTAATTGTTTATATCTCAGCTACGGCGTTAACTTATGATGAAATAAAATCAAAATAATTCTACTCCGTCCCCTTCCAATTTGGTCCCAAACATCATTGAATGGACAAAACCCTTAAAACGGGTAGTTTCAGCCAGGTTAAAATCCCTGGTTGGCTGCATGGCTATTTTAGTAGTCATTGCTACGTATAACGTGAATAGAGTTAGTTTTGCTAGAACGCTTTAACTGAAGACATCTGTATCCTTAGGCTTATGTGCTTTGTCATAATTCTGAATTTTCTCGTATAGAAATAGTCTTAATAGTCGCTTAAGTTTTATGATTTTTAACGTATCTTAAAATTTCTTCCGGCGTTGAACTGTAATTTCCATGAATTGTGAATATAAATTTAAAAATAAATACATAAAAATCATGCACTTTTAAAAATTGCATAATTTTAGTTTTTTTTTTAAAGTGTGCGATTTTTATGTCTTTTAAATCTTCAAACATTAAATTTTTTTTAAATTCCACTCTCAGATTTTTTTACTGTAATCTGAAGATTTCATATTCTAATTTATTTAATTATTTATTTTATTTTAATAGTTCTTATAATATAAATCCACATCAAAAATCTTTAGGATTCAGCCACAGATTCGCGCATACGTCAAGCAGCAGGAAGATGTTTAAATAACAAATTTATTACATTTCCAGGACACGTTATTTATCCTTTAAGTGTCGTTAGTTAGTGAGTAGTATAAGGAAGCTTATCAAACTAGTAATCAGCATTAAAAATAAATCGTATTTGCAGCCTGTAGGTCTTTTATGTGTAGATATAATGATCACAATTGTTTAGAAATCAGTTATAAACTAGCAGGTCGCAGAGGCATTTCCGATCTTTTTCCATGTGTAACATGAATACGAATCAGGTTCTCTTATTAATTTGTCTACAAAAGCATTCCTTACTCTCGCGTGTTTTGGTTTAATCGATTAAAAATCCAAAATTTTCATAAATCTGCAAGATTTGTATTTTGATGTTTATTAAAAATGAAAGAAATGATCAACAACAATTTTCAGAAGTCCGTCGTATCTCTTTTTTTTTTTTTTTTTCATATATCTCTATTTTAAATTTAAAAAATTATCGATAAAATCTTATGCAATTGTTTTTATCAAACTTATTGCATCAATGACCTAAATGCATGCTAGGATAATAGAAATGTGAAAAACATAATAAAGAAAGGAAATCACAGTCTTACGCTGACGGCGGTTTTAGATCTTTGGATCCATCCGATGGTGCAAATTTACCTTCATTTCATTTAAATTTCTGTTTAGTTTAGAAATTCGACTTCATCGTCACTTAAAATAAGGGGTGGGCTTCAAACAATTAAGGATCCTAAATTCTAATTTAAAATTCCAGCGCTGCTGGCAAACGATAACTTTAAAAAAAGGAGAAAGCAATTTTTGGAGGATAGAAAGTAAAAATCAGTTAATTACTTTAGTAATTCTGAATAAGTAAACCCCCCTTTCGCAGATTGCTTTCTGATCTATTCTATCGAAATTCTGTGATGATTGAGTTAGCATTATTTTTTTTAAAAAAAGGCCACATCTAATTTTAAATATTGAATTGTAAGCGCAAATATATATAAGCTTGAAAATTTCAAGAAATTCGGGTCTGTGGAAGAAGACAAAAATTAATTTCAAGAGTTGAGCCAAATAAATAAATGGACAATCTAAATTTTAAAAAATGAAACTAAAAATATTTTATTTATTAATTTACTTTTTGATTTTATTGAAATTTTCCAGTGTTGAAAACTCCTTCAGCTTTTCGAACAAAAACGAAAGGACATGTGTTACAGTATATTCCTGAGTATTGCAATATTTGTGGAAAAGAATAAGCCGATTTCTGTGCAAGAAAGCAGACTAGCCATAAAGCCGATGAATACTAGTAGTTCGACCTGGGCTGAAATCTTGATGAGAGCGCTGGCTGCATGAGAGGTTTTACAGATTTTTCCCATGTGCAATGCGAATACGAGTCAGTATCCTTTAAAATGTCCTTGATAACGGCATCCCTCTCCCTTAGTATTTGAGTGCATTGGTATAATCTAAATAATGGCCAAAATCTTTGCACGAAAAATCTCGAAATTACTACAATCAACAAATTCCGAGATCCCTTTTCAATTAAGCTGGGTAGCAAGCAGATTTTAAAATAGTAGAAAAAGGCAAAATTGCATAACGTATCAAGGAAAAGGAAGGAGCGTTGAGAGTTTTATGGATGTGTGTATAAAGTTGGGACTTAGTTCTAACTTTTGAAGTCTCATGACAGTCTTAGACAGCACCTTCATTTTTTTTTAGCATTTATGGCTTTCTATATTCTCCTTTTTGTAATATTATAGAACCTATTAACAAAGCCTGACTGTATCGTTGGGGTTACTTCGAGGTGACTCCGAGGCAACTTTGTACCGGTGTTACTGTGCTAATATAAGGTTTGTTCTTCCTGACCAGAAATCATTGCTTTGATTTCGCTGACTCATAGTATATTCAAAAGCAAAAATTTCTTATCCGCCTTCTTTTTTTCCTATCTCCCACTTCTATGAGTCAAGTGACATCATTGACTGGAAAGAGCATAACCTTGTTTGTCTACTGATTTTGCCTTGCACTAACGAGCTGGAAAATGTTTCAGGCAACTTTTGGTCTCTTATTATATATTACATTATTCTATTATCATCTGTTATTCTTGCTATTTCTAGTTGTGTGATTTGACTAGTCTTTGAAAAAATCAATTAATTAAAGAAAACTTATTAACTCTTTAATTTTTGTTGAAATAAATAACCAAAAAAAAATTTTTCTCCTTTTCATTATACACTAATATTTGTGAAAATTGCAACACCATGAAGGAATTGTCGGAAATGAATGAAATTTATTCTACATATTACTTATAATAGTACAAATAAACGATCAAATTTACAAAACAAAAAGATAAAATAGACGTCGAAAATCAGTATTTTGTGTGTCCGTCAAACTGAGCGATAAGAGTCTGCACATATCGTGGCATTCAATCATACAGATTCTGAATGTAATCCTGGGGAATGGCATTCCATAAGACGCCTGGGTTCAGTCTTAGTGTATACCTCACCAGCTGTACGAGCGAGTCGCCGACCAATGAAATACTATACATAGGGAAGAAGCGAAACCTGTTGTGCCCGAAAGAAGGCTTGTGCAGTCTGAGAAACCATGTGCACGGGTATTATCCTGCTGAGATACAGCTCCTGGAATGCGTCGACGAATGGGGAGGATCTCTGGCTTCACAACTTCCCTTATGTAGCGATCACTATTGAGGCTGCCCGCAATCTGCACTAGATTAGGATCGGCAATTATACCCAATAGCTCCCCCACCATGATGTCAGGCGTTTGTGCGACATGATGCTGGATAACAGACTGTGGGATCAGACGTTCCCCCCCCCTGTAACGTCCGACGCGTACTCTTCCCTTATTGTACTCCCGACTATTGCGAGATTCATTGGAGACAACAACTTATTGCTAAAGGTCACGCCACGTACTGTGTTGCTGTGCCCACTAAAGTCGGAGACGTTTGTGATTCATTGACGGAGAAATCCTGCGTAGAGAAACCCTTGCACGCAGTTCATATTGCAGCAGATGGCAACGAACCATGGAGCTAGAAACACAACACCTGTGGCCTTGCTCCAACGTTGTGCTAACACACGAGAGGACGCTATACGGTCCATCACAGCCAAGCGGATGAGGTGCCTGTCGTCCTGTGCCGTTGTGTATTGCGTTGTGTATCCTCACTACGAGAATTTTATCTTGTTTGGTTCTCCTCTGTCCATTTTTTCCAAACACGCATCACTGTTGTGGCATTCATTACTCTGCATGCGAGCTGCGATTGCTCTGCATGAAAGTCCACTCTCTCGCATACCGATGATGCAGTCTCTTTCGAACTCTATTATTTTTTTCTATGGCACCCTCCGCTGTTGACGAGGTATCTTGACAACTAATTAAACGTTTACCGTAGGCAGAGGATGATAAGCAGATTTCAACACAATTGTACAATCATTTCTATACATGGAACAAGCGGCCGGTTCTCATTCCATGCATGCGCAATCGCTTTGTAATTCTAATAATTTGCATGTCTTACCTCACTTTACATTTACTGTAAGTTTGATTCAATTTACATAATTTCTTCATGGTGTTGCGATTTTCACAAGCATTAGTGTAGTAAGTATGCAACTGGTTAAAAGAGAAAACACATTTCTATTATACGGATTTCTTGACTGTTCCGATAGATTGTGATCCCAATCCTTCTGGATAATTCTATTTTAGGTTAAGTAACGAAATAAGAAGTACTTACCCACAGAGAAGTAGCAAATGCTGGTTGGCAACAGATTGATATCAGTAATGCATTGCGCGCAAGTACCAGCTAAAGGTGGACAGATATCATGTAAAATAGGGCGGAAGTTGTGAGAAAGATGAGGTGGTGGTGGCGATGGCAAAGCATATGGAGACAGTGGTGGTGGAGGCGGAGACGGTGGCGGAGGAGGAAGTAATGGTGGTGTTGGCGGTAGAACATACATTGGTAATCCGTATGGCGGTAGAGGATCTGGAGGCAATCCATACTGTGAATATGACGTCGGTTGTATTGGGAATCGCTTCAGTCTTCCTTTTCCCGTAAAATTGAAATGTTCGGAGGTGTTCACGCCATCTGTCAGGGAGTCTTCAAATGTTGGAGTTGTAGCATTTGAAGATATAAGTGTGTCTACATAGGAAAGAAAAAACGTTCTTGCTTAAATTAAGTTGCTCAGTAATTTTACCTAACGGTTTGTAATAAGAAGCAATATGTCACTGATTTGTCATCGAATAATTAATTAAAATAAACATAACTTAATTAATAGCTGACTTAAAATTTATTGCCATGATTTGGGGGTTACAAAACTTTAAGGAAGTTGCACTTGGTATGTCAACTGCATTATTTCTACAAAAGCTTTAATATGGGGAACTAATGTTATTTGAACATTATTTCTATAGACGCTGTAATATAGGAAACTTATCTTATTTGGATATTAGCGCTTGCAATTACAGTCTAGTCGACTTTCAAGTACTCACTATAAATTTAAAAACTATCACTTATCAGTTCTCAAACCTGACATGATGCCAGACAAAAGCTCAAGATAAATTAATTACAGTGATCATTAACCATGCAAGATAAATCACAGTTTTTAGTGAATGTGCCTTATCTGTTCTTGATAGCTGCTCCGCATTAGCGCATTTAAATCTTCTTCCAAACTGAGTGTGTACGAAATCATTTTGCGCATACGAAATTAGAAAAAACTAAAAGTAACTGCTTAGAAACTTAAATTTTACAACATTCAAATGTGTTCTTTAATAATCACAGAAATGAGGTCATTTTTTACTCAACTCAAATACCCAGTGTTGTTTTATTTTTATTATACTTATCTGTTTAAACCACTCTGGACGTATGAAAATTGTGGTTAGAATTTCAAACGATGCGACCGGCTTCAGAATTTGTCAACTAGTATTCAAGAGAGCATTAGATCCTTAGCAATTTCTCAGAGAAGTTTAGCGTTCTGTATAATTCCTTTGAGGAAAGCTATATGTCAGGTTTGAGGACTGATATTTTGTAAGCTAACTTTTTATTTAATGGCACTATATACTATAATTTATAACGAAACTGTAGGCTGAGAGTATAAACAAGAAACTTGGTATGTCCAGATTTCGCATTTATCTACTCTGCATCATGCTCAGGATGTTGGTGATTGCTTGACTTTGCGCAATTGTGTATGCACAATGATTTATATTCTTTTTTTTAATCAGTTTTTTGCGTTTGCCTCTTTTCTGCTAGAGGCTTAAAGTATTTCCTCGACTACATATTTACCTATTAACCAGGCTAACTTTCTGCATAATGAGTTAACGGCTGTACTTACTCGTAATTGATCCTAAATATATTAACTATTTTTTTTTAAATGGAGTCTTTTTTGCTGACCACTTTTAAGTTGTCAGATTGCAATTCTAATTTTTTCTAGTTTAAAAACGTTTATTATTTATTTATTTATTTACCATCAGATGAACAGCTGCACCGCCTGTAAGACATTCAGCTTTTATGCTCAACTGATGGAATCATCTACGAATTGTGTTGTTATATATAAAATTCAATAAAGTTTTAGAATTTTTATAATTACCTAATAAAAATTAAATATCATGAAATAAATATATAAATAGATACAATAAATAAAAATTAAATTTTAGAATTAGATAAATGAATAAATGCAATGTTGTTATACGAGTATATGAAGTCAATATAGTATTAGAATTTTGAGAATTATATAATAAAAAATTTAAAAAATAAATATATAATACATAATACCTAAATAAATATGTAAGTAAATGAAACATAAATACGTAAGTAAATACTTAAAATCATTACAAATTTTGAAAATGAACAACATAATGTAGGAGAATAGTAGAGGCTGAGAATGTAAGTTTTGTAAATAGTTTAGAATAAGAGTATAGTTTAAAAACGTTTAAAGGAATGCTTTCAAAATTATGGAGAGTTTCACTACTGTAACACGAATTTATCATCCAAGGGAAATAAGGAGATTCGTCATTGCGCCAAACATAAAACCTTTTGCTACGATATCTAGCCAGTTCCCCAAAAATTTTAATTCGCGATACGAGTTTCTAACATTTCTTCCAAGTTATGATCGTATTGCTTTCAGCAGTTCGACAGCAATAAATTTGTTTGTTATTTACTTAAATCTTAGTAAAATGTTTAATAATGTATTTGACTGACATTGGTGTGCAAAAATTAAGGACGAAGTCGAAAAATTAGCATATCAGCTGAACGAAGAGGCAGAGCGGACAGAAAGACCAATAAGGAGATTAAGTAAGCTGATGTACTGTAGCACATGCGCAGATATGCAGGTAGACGTAATGGGGGAGTGTCTGAGTAGTATAAAGCATGTTGTCATAAAGCATGTTGTCGGTGTAAGATCAGTATTTCTGGCAAAGAGATTGCATGGCGTATAGCAGTTAAAATCACCGAGTTGCTGCCTCAGCGAGAAATGGCGAATAATCAATCTGTTAGACGACATCTGGATGCTTTTACCCGAGGTCGAATCATTGGGAAGTTGGAGGAAGGCCGCAGTGTGACAAGTGTGGCTGCAGAGTTCGGAATTGCTCACAGCGTCGTTTCACAACTTTGGAGACAATTTCAAACTACAGGAACAGCTATCCGGGGGTTTAGTCGTGGTCGTCCAGGAGGAACCACACCCGCAGATGACCGGTATATTGCCTTACAGGCCAGAAGATACAGGCTGCAGACAGCGAGAAAAATCGCTAGACACACGACACATGCGACTGAACGACCGATATCGCGTTTTACCGTGGCCAGAAGACTGCACGGTGGTGGTCTGTTTGCACGACGCCCTGTACATGTGTATCTCTAACGCCTGCCCATCGGAGAAGGCGTTCTCTGTGGTGCCGGGAACACCGGAATTGGAGAGACAATGAATGGGGACGAGTACTCTTTACAGATGAGAGCAGATTCAGTCTGAGTAGCGATTCTCATCGCATACTCATCTGGAGAGAGCGGGGAAGCCGCAATCATCCCTCGAACATCATTGAAAGGGACAGGTATGGAGGTGGCGGTGTTCTCGTTTGGGGAGGCATCATGCTTGGTAGTAGTACAGACCTTCACATCTTCGACGCAGGTTCAGTCAACGGGACCCGTTATTGTAACGAGATTCTTCTTCCATATGTGCGTCTTTTTAGAGGCGCTATGGGTCCGCAGTTCCTTTTCATGGACGACAATGCACCATGTCATCGCACAGTAGCTGCCGAACAGCTCTTAGAGAGTGAGGACATTGAAATTATAGATTGTCCGGCACGATCTCCGGATCTCAATCCCATCGAGCATGTATGGGATTTTCTAGGCAGACGCTTGGCAGCTCGTACCTTACCACCAGTAACGATTCCGGAGCTTCGATTGGCGCTGCAAGACGAATGGGCAGCAATGCTCAACAACTCATTGACACCCTCAATTCTCAGCACGGGCAGACGCTGTGAAACCTGCCTAGCAGTCAGGGGAGATCATATCCCCTATTTAAAGACCGGATGTTTCTTGCTGGACACCCATCACAGGGATGTTTCGGCCTTCAGTCGCATTGCGCTCCATGCTACTTTTTAAATAAAGCTTCTTTTTATCCCTCTGATTTCTCATTTAGTAAGTGTTGCTTACATTACTCATGTCCTTACGTATTGGGGATCTTACGGTATTAAATGTGTTGATTTGGAAAGCTTTTGTACAAAGTTATATTGAAAAAACCGCCTCGTCCTTAATTTTTGCACACCAGTGTAGTTTAAGACATGTTAAATATATAATATGACCAATTTTTAATTTGCACGATCCTTTGCAACGTTGTTGAAGCTAACATTAAATTTTTCTAACCCTGTATATTACGTAATTGTCTATGCTCACAGATGTCACAAGTTTTGAGAAAGAACAGTTATAAGTTCATGTTTCCATGCAAAATGGTAGTTTTAAGACTGTTGCCGTTTTTTAGACAGAAGAGTTTAAATTCACCTTTCAAAATATAAAATTTCATGCAATCTGACAAATCCAGCACATATTCTGTATTCTTAATACTAACTGCCTTTGCTCTTTTTTAATGCTATGTCTAGTTGATATGATTTGTATTGTAACTAATTGGTAATTTATGATATCCCTACAAGTTATGTTCCTATAATAAAAAAACTGGTTTTAAATTTTAAAACAATTATTTAGTCATGTGGTAAATCAGTAACGATGAGAAAATATGGTCAACTAATTAAAAGTATATAATTATTATCATACCATTGAAAGACAAAGTAGCTTCATTATCAAATGTTTCCTGACTCTCATCCCAAAATGTTTCTTCCAGTTCGTAGTCAGCATATGAGCTCACATTTGCAGAACTGCGAAAGAAATACAGATGGCATTAGTGGCAATTTTATCAGTCGTTGCGTAAAGGTTCATAAAATTATAAACTTATGACATTAAAGTGAACTGTTAAATTCATTCCGAAACCACATACATAAAATATATTTCAGACGTTGATTAGAAGTTACAATTTTACAATCGGCAATATTTAGCGGAAAAGTTTTAAAAAGGAGAAAAAATGCGATTTCTTTTGGAGATTCTACTGCACATTCTAGCTATAGATTATTCGAGACCAGAAGATCCATTCAGAGTATATATAGCTTTATCCTCTATGAGAGTAAAAATACTTAAGAGAATACGGAGAAAACGGAATCAGAGTGAAAGGGAAATATGCTAGTGTAAAATTTTAAATTAGGCACAAAAGTAACCTTAAAAAGGCGTAAATTTTCAGTAATATTTTATTGATTTCGAAGATGATCAAATGATAGGTTTCGGTTCCTCAAAAAGGCGTAAATTTTCAATAATATTTTATTGATTTCGAAGATGATCAAATGATAGGTTTCGGTTCCTCAAGCGAATGATGATAGGTTCCTATTTTGCGAAGGTGTGAGAAGTAACAATCTTATTTATAAGCAAATAATGGGTAAGCAAAGGGAAATCCAAAGTAGTCTCATCTATTGACCAAAACAGTAATGGAAAAGCTATGATAGCAGAGTTTTGAATTTAAATCTGAGATATCTGGTTACTTTATTCTAAGTGGTCTATATTTTCAGGTAGTTGAAATTATCCACAACGATTTAATAGCCATCATTGGAGAGATTGAAATGTTTCAGTAAGCTGGGAATGCATTCCGATAAGCATTATTTCAAAGGTGATTTAGTAATAAATTTTGTTTTTAATGTTTGAAACAGAACTACTCTGCAAGTATTTTTCACAAAATTTTTAACATAAAAGTATTTAATGTAAAAAGATTCATAGGAATTTTAAAAAAAAGTTATAAAATAAACTTTTAATTAAAACTCATACAATATTTTATTCTTCGTAATTATAGTTCTCCAATTAAAAGGAGAATAACTCTAGTTCTACAATTAAAAGGAGAACTATAATTAATCATTTAGTTTAATAGGAACATGAGATAGAATCATTCTATTTACAAAATTCTTTTACAATTTCATATCAAAAATAATAAAAGTGTGGGCTCACTTTGATAAATTTATAAAATTAATGACATACTTTTGAGAATGAAATTCGATTATTAGATTTGTTTGTTAAGCGTCCAGTCTTTTATTATTCGTGATATAAATTTGTAGAGGAATTTGGCGAAGTTATAAGGTATTTCTCCCGCCTGTTTAGCATGCCTTCGTAGTGTAGTGGTCAGCTCACTCGGCGCGTATTCGAGAGGCCCGTGGTTTGAGTTTCCGGCGAAGCCGTTTCTCATTTTTCATCTCTTCTGCTTCCAATTAACCTAATGTCTTTACAGAGGCGTTCGAACTAAAAGGGTGGTGGATGATGATTCTCCAACCCCAGGATTTGGCGATTCTGTTTCCTAATCCCCAGTCGCCCTTTAAAAAGGGAAGTAGATAAGGTGGTTCTCCCGCCTTCTTAGCATGCCTTCGTAGTGTAGTGGTCAGCACGCTCGGCATATATTCGAGAGGCCGTGGTTGGAGTCCCGGCGAAGGCGTTGCTCATTTTTCATCTCTCCGGCTACGAAATAACCTAATGTCTCTACAAAGTTAATTATTTAATCTGCTACCACGATTAAGCTATATGGTAAACTATGTTACTCTTTTTGATTCATTAACTATTTTATAAGACCTTTTCCTTAAAATCTTTTAAATTTTTTTTTTTTTTTTTAATTTTTTTTTTTTAAAATTTTTCTGAATTACACTCTTTTAGTCAAATTGTTCAGTTGAAAAACCGTTCTTTAACAACGGGTAGTCAGTCTTTTACTTCCATAATTTTTTATTAGTTACAATCTCACAATAAAATATAATATTTCTACTTTGATATTAAATGTATGTATATTACTTGCGATTAAATATGAATGCTAGTCCGACGACTGATCGCTTAGCGGCTAGTTTAAAAACAAATTCTAGAAACTTAAAAAGTTTGATTTATAAAATATTAAAATTTCAAATCATAATTGATATATTTTTGGAAGCCAGAAATTTAAAGTCCCATCAAAGGATATAATACACTTTTCACAAGGAAATCAGCTATTAAATTGAAATCCTGGGAAAAGATTTATATAAATTTTTAAAATGAAAAAAAAAATTTAAATTTTATGGAGATTAATCAGAGGAATAAATAATGAAAGCAAAATTTATCTAGTAAAAAAAGGGGGGAAGAACTAGTTTTCGTAAAATGGTAGATTTCTATACTTTTTATTAGTTTCTTTGCAATTAATTATTTCTAGCAAGGAGAAAGAGATTAAATAAATAAATAAAATCAATATTAGGAAAATCTGTGCAGCATCAAAGAACATAAAGCTACGTGTAATGACATCTTAGCTTCGATAATCGAAGCAAATCACGTAACGCCGTCTTCTGTTTAAAATCTGCAGCATATTGTTTTTTAAATACAGAAATTGCCATATTAATATTTTTTATCATTTTTAAAAAAGAGGAATTAGTTTTTTTTATGTTCTGTACAAATTTTAAAAAAATGTATCAGACGCATTTTTAAATGCTAAAGTTTAAAATAATGCATGTTAAATAGTCGAAAAAATCCAGCTCTTTTTGACAATTCGCCAAACATTAAGAACATTTGTTAACTATTTTTTGAAAATTTTAGATGAAAGAATTTTTCAATTGTTCGTAAGCAAACGAATTGTGAGATTTTTAGCTTTTTCATAAAACGACGAATATATGCGAAAAATCATTTCAACATTAAATTTTAAATTATGAGAGTGTGCTTTAAGTTACATCTCGAAAGCACGCGAATAGTAGGGAGAATAATTAGCTAGCTATAATGTGACTTTAAAAAATGTACAACTGTAAAATTCATCAAATTTTAGAATAACGAACTGAATGTTAAGTTACATTTTCGTGTTCATTTCATTCATTTGTTTTTTTATGTTATATTGATAATAAGCACAACTAGGAAAGAAAACGTTTTATTTAGGAAACGTTTTTAAATATGATGAAAATAAAATAAATAACTAATGTCCATCTAATTTTGTGTGACCACTGAGAGTAGTTTACCACTGATAACTTTAAATAAAATTAATAGAAATGTTTGTTTATTAAATGTTTTCTAAGAATTCATATTATGCTTGACAAACGTCTCTAACACATTAAAATACTTTAAAGCAAAGTAAATAAATAAATAAATTAGAAAAACAACTCTGAAATTCACTTAAAAATGGAGTCTGCACAATTTAAGCTTCATTAAACGTTGACAGCTGTTTAAGAATTAGGCCCTTTATAATTTTCTTCATAACACTTTAGTTTCCTTTGATAGTTATTATCTTTTCTTCTCGATTTATATTCGGAAGACATGATCTAAATTCAGACAGATTAAAAACTGTCAGCTTTGAAAATTTACCGGTAGAGGTGACGAAAACTAGAGGTCTCTATTCTTCCGATTGTACTAGAAGTATTCACAACTCTGTAAAATGTACTTACTTCTACAATATTTAACTACTACAGTAAGTTTCATAAAGATATCTACACGGAAAGTTTGCTTTTGAAATTTATTCCATTACCTTGAAGAAATACTATGGAGTTTTGAATATATGGTACCATGAAAAAATGTTCTACATACTTGACCGGAAGGTAAAAGTTCTAGACTTCATGTATTTTTTCATTGATACAGTCATACAACTGCGATGTAATAACGGTGTAATTTGATACATTCATACACCTGTCATGCACTGGTTACATTAGTTTTGCTGTTGATAAGCCCAGTCAACAGATATATGTTTATGAATACTTCAATCTACATATATCTGTCGACCAATCTTTCAGCCTCTAACCTTGGAGATGCACTATGTTAAATAACGTGCAGTTTTTATGGAGTTTTATCAGAAATTAGGAGCAGATACCTTTCAATAAACCAAAACTTTGAATTTTTTAACGTTTATATTAAAATTCGATTTTTTACGCGCATTAAAACAAACGTGATCTAAAAACTGCCTCTAGAAACAGTGATAAACTACACTGTAATCTCGATTATCCGAGCGTAGCAGTGCCCGCAAAAACACTCATTGTGTGCGAAAATGTGTAAAAGAAAAAAAAAAAAAAAAAAAAAAAAAAAACCGCGCAGGTCCGAGCATGATTGGTTTGGTTTGGTTTATGTGATTATGCAAAGCCTCGAGGGCTATCTGCCTAATGGGAGGGATGCCTTTGTGGAGGACTTTCTAAGGGAAATTGCCTCATGCACACGTGAGACATGGGGAAAACCACGAAAACGCCCATGCAGCCACCGTTCGCGGGATTCGAACCTCGGACCAAACTACTAGTCAGTCGGTCGCTGGTGGGCTCTTAATTTTCCAAATACTACATAAAATGGGCTACTGTTATGCTTCTGATATACCACCTTTAAAATTATAACTTAATTTGAAATCATGTAAAAATTTCGACTTGTCGCTTTGATTTTCGCAATCAAAATTATGATGATTTTGTATGCATCGCTATTTAAATATGCATGCGTACAAACTTATAAATATATTTTGTATTTCTTTATTAATATTAAGAAAATAATACATATTTACAGGATTTGAACGTAAATATACCTATAACTTAAGATTTCTGAAAACTATAACAATCCTCCTTCCTCACGTGATTTATCCGAAATCGTTGATCAAAATTTCAAGATATTTTGGCCAACTGTATAAAACCTGATTCAGAATAAATGACCAGCTATTATGTTTCCCGCATAAAAATTAGGAATTATTTTGAATTTTACCAAAAAAATAGTCGATTTTGAGATTGTTGAAAATTATTTTATTTTTTATTTTTTAGAAATATATAATTCAAATGATTTTAGATTAGGTCATTTTATTTATACTTTATTTTCTAATTGAAAAGGAGGC